ATCCAGTGGGAGGATTGCTAAGCAAATGGTTCTCAGATAACTGGATACTTATACCAAAAAAAAAAAAAAACCCAAAAAAACCTGACCCTTACCTCAAGTCATACACAAAAATTAAATTGATATAGAATTATATATTTGTGATTAGAGGCTGTATTAAGTTTTCTTACATCACAAAAAGCAATAACCATGAAAAACTGACAGTTTAGATTTTATCAAAATTTAAAACTTCTTCTCAAAACATGCTATTAAGAAAATGAATAGGCAAGTCACAGACAGAAAATATTCACAAAACATAAATGTGACAAGTGGTTGGTATCCGGGATATATAAAGAACTTCCACAGCTCAGTTATAAAAAGACAACTCAAAACAATACTTTAAATTATTTGAATAGCTACTTGACAAAAGTAGATATATTAATGGCCAATAAATGTACATCAAAGACATAACATTATTTGTCATCAGAGAAATGCAAATTAAAATTACAATGACATACCACTACGTACTCCCCAGGATGGCTATTTTTCCTCAGCTTTAAAGGATGGCTATTATTAAAATTGCTAACAACAAATTTTGGTGAGGATGTGGAATAACCACGCCTATTCCCGCATTGTTGATAGCAATGCAGAATGAGAAAATGGCCATTCAAAAAAGATAAAACTAAACATATACCTACTCCATGACTCACAATTTCCATTCATAGGCATTTATCCATAAGAAATGGAAATGTTTGTTTTCAAAAGGTTATAGCAGCTTTATGCAAAGAGTCTCAACTAAAAATAGCCCAGGTAAGCAGCAATAGTAGAATGGATGAAGAAACTCAGGCATAACTAGAGAATGGGATTCTGTGGAGCAACAGAGAGGAAGAAACTACTGATTCATGCAACAACATGCAAGAATCTTAAAAACATTACGCTGAGTGAATAATAACTAAAAAAAAAAAAAAGCCACATAAAAGTATCAGGGCCCTTTAAATGAAATTCTGAAACACGTAAAAGTAGTAGTGGAGAAAGTCAGAACTGTGGTTGACTCTGAGAGTTGGTGATGGGGATTACTGGGAAGGGGAAAGGGGAACTTTGCGGGGTAATGATGTTGTTTTATGTCTAGAAAAGGAATTGGGTTTCACAGATGTATGCATTTGTCCTGGCTCGGTGGATGCACAATTAAGAATTTTGCACTTGTAGTTTTTTTCACTTATAAGCTTTATGGCAAAAGAAAAAAAACCTGTAAACAAATACTGAATTCCAGCTAGAAAAATCCCTCCCTCCCTCCCTTCCTCCCTCCCTCCCTCCCGCCTTCCCTCCTTCCCTCCTTCCCTCCTTCCCTCCTTCCCTCCTTCCTTCCTTCCTTCCTCCCTTCCTTCCTTCCTTCTAGCTTGTATAGAGTCTTACTTTGTTACCCAGGCTGGAGTGCAGTGGCATGATCCCAGCTCACTGCAATCTCTGCCTCCTGGGCTCAAGCAATTCTCATACCTCAGCCTCCCCAGTAGCTGGGATTATGGGCATGCACCACCATGCTCGGCTAATTTTTTTTTTTTTTTAGTAGAGATAGGGTTTTGCCACGTTAGCCAGGCTGGTCATGAACTCCTGGCCTCAAGTGATCCACCTGCCTCTGCCTCCCAAAGTGCTGGGATTACAGGAGTCAGCCACTGTGCCTGGCCCCAAACTGTTTATTTTTCTCATGTACATACACCACGAAAAGCTAAGAGATGGGATCAAGAAGCAGATGGAGCACATATGGCCATGTTCCCTCCTTCAACAAATTCCACTAAATGCCAGAGAAGATGTTTAAAAAGCAAACACTCCCCCCTTCCAGAATACATCATAGTATGAAGAATAGGAAAGAGACAGACCAGGAATTTCAAGAGATTCCGGAAGGACAGAAAGCAAAAACATACATGAAGGAGGACACAGTTGTGATGTTGGATTGATTCAGAGGTGCTTCAAGAGGCAACGGATTGAAGAAATTAATTGTGGGCCTATAGTTAAACCCATAGAATTTTATTTATTTATTTATTTATTTAGAGACAAGGTCTTGCCCTGTTGCCCAGGCTGGAGTGCAGTGGCTTGATCATAGCTCACTGCTGCCTCGACCTCCCAGGTTCAGGCGACCCTCCCACCTCAGTCTCCTGAGTAGCTGGAACTAAAGGTGCACACCATCATGCCCAGCTAATTTTTGTTTTTAAACTCATAAAATGTTATTGACATTTTTAAAAGAAGACCTACATAGAGAGGCATAATGTGCTTCCGACTTAATATTATAAAAGTAACATTTTTCTGAAACCAATCTATACAGTTCAGTGCAATGATGATCAGAATTCCAAAAGGATTTTTTATAAAGATTGACAGACTGACTTTAAAGTTCTTTTTTTTCTTTTTTAGAGACAGCGTCTTGCTCTGCTGCCTGGGCTGCGGTGCAGTGGCACAGTCATAGCTCACTGCAGGCTTGAACTCCTGGGCTCAAGCGATACTCTCACCTCAGCCACCTGAGTAGCTAGGACTACAGGCACAGGCCACCATGCTTGACTAATTTTTGTATTTTTTTTTTGTAGGTGGGATCTCACTAGGTTGCCTAGGCTGGTCTCAAACTCCTGGCTTCAAGTGATCCTCCCACCTGGTCCTCTAGAAGTTCTGGGATTACAGGCATAAGCCACTGCACCGAGCCCTGTTTCCCACCTTTTCTATGCAGTGCTGATAACAGGAGAATGGTGGAATTTTTGCCATCATCTCTGGGCTGGTGACATGGAGTGGGAACCTTTTAGGCATGCTAGCTTAGGAGCTTTTCATGTAGTCAGGGTATAAGAGAACCAGATCATTATTGTGCAGGGCAAGGAATTAACCAAGGTAGCTATAGTCTCACATGGTACTGACTTCATTTTATGTCTTGGGTTTTCTCTTTTAATTGTTGGTTTGGGGTATGAGAAACTTTAAATAGAGTGGGAAGTTCCCTGAGAACTGCCATTTGATTAAAGACAGAATGAAGTGAGAAAAGAGCCAGGCATCTGTCCAGGGAGATCATTCCAGGCAGAGGGATGGGTAGGACCGAAGGTCATATGGGGGAGCAAGGAGGCCAGTGTGGCTGGAGGGGAGTGAGTAGGGGGTTGAGTAAGGGTGACAAAGGCCATATCATGTGGGGCTTTATAGGCCTAAGTAAGGAAAATCCTCCAGAGAGAGGCTGGCTGGTCAACGGGCCACCCCAGAGTCTCTACGTGCTTGAGATTCACAGAAATGGAAGCCAGCAACAGAGTGGTCAAGGAATTGAGAGAAAGACAGAGAGGCAGAGAATTGGAGGGTTTGCTTGAAGGGGGAAAAGCACCTGGAAAACGTTCTACTTGAAGGAATTCAGACCTAAAGCTGATCAGAGAAGGGCCTAGTTGTAGGGGAGCATTCCATAGAAAGCCTCCCTGGGTGGGAGGGATGGACTAACTAAGGTGGGGAGGAGTCGGGCTTGCTGCCGCAGAGATTCCATCGGCAGCCTCTTTAGCTTGGGCAGCTGGGGTTTTACTCTTTTTGTCAGGTCAAATGCAACTTCAAGTTCCCACTCCTCCCAACAAGATCGCCTCTCCCACACCTCTGATACAGAAATACACAGTCACCACTGTCCTTGGGTCTCAACCTGGCCTTGGTCCAACCAGGACCATGGTGTCCATGGACAAAGTGGTGTGTCTTGCCCTCAGGGTGTGCAGGTTCTGGAGAACCACTGAGATTTCCAGGCAAATGACAGGCATTATTCCATCTGCAGAGTACTCTAATTTGTTGCTCTCTTTCTGTCTTTCATTGCTATCCTTTGTGTCTTAAAAATATAATTTCTCTGTAGCAGGTACTTCACTAACCACTTTGTAGTAGAGGGGGAAAACCTGGCTGTTCAATTCAGTCAACATTTTCTCATTTCCTGCTCCAACAATAAAAGATTTGGGAGCCAAGGTTAACCTGATGCCCCCTGTCTATGGTAAGAAACAGTAGCAAACAACAGATTTGAGGATTAATTGGCATTGGATGGGAAGGTGGGGCAGGCCACAACTGTTTCTGATTTATCCACCATGTTTATGCATGTAAATTTCAAGTCAGAGAAGTGGCCAATGTGGTTTTAGACCTCAACATTAAAGTGAATTCAGATTTTAGCCCATGGGAAAAAGGAGTGGTAATAAATAAAAATCTGTAGTTAATAAAATCATCTAAAACAGGAGAGGGTACAGAATGGGTCTTTGTTCTCCCCTCTATTTCTGTGCAGACTTTTGTGTGGGTCAAAGTGTGATTTTGTTCTTGTTAATTTCTTATTGCTTTTCTTTTCATTAGTGAAAGAACATTGTCCTCCTAATTATTGCCAAATTAGAGCAAGAGAGGCAGAAATGAGCTAGATCTATAGTTCTTGGAAACTGATGATGCATGTCGGGTAATTTAATTTTGTGGCAATTACAAGGATTAACCGTGAACTGGGAAGAGCTACCTAGTATTGTACTTTAAAATGAGCTCCATGTATGAGGCTCATGCCTCCATTTTCCATTCATGAAATAGAAGTATTCAAGAACGGGTTTGATGAGTAAAGCACACATAAAATTACAACAGAGAGAGACAAGGATCTGTATATGTTATTTCTTCCAAAATTGGAGAAGGTGTAAATGAACACATGACCCTTGGATTAAACCTACAGGCAATTTGTTATCCATTCATCAGTTCTTCTGAACGAGGCTATGAGAATAGTCCTCTTGAGTTTTTTCTTACTTACACGATCAAGGATAAAGCCTGGGCTTGTCCAGCTGATGGAATATTTCCTTTCCTCTCCTAATAAAAAAAAATTCCAGAGCCTAGGTTAAGCCAATCCTATGGTAAATTTTGGTCAAGGTCAAGATTAATGCTTTTTTTTTGCTTTTTTTTTTTTTTTTTGGTGACTTCAAAATTACAGTTGTATATGACAGAATTATTCCTCTGGGTGAATAGCACAAAATAAGGAGAATTGACTTTCGCAGAACGCTTCCTTTTAAGTTTATTTTGTTTCTTTCTAGCACAACACAGCTGGAGTAAACTGTGAACAGTGTGCTGAGGGCTATTACCGCCCTTATGGGGTTCCAGCGGATGCCCCCGATGGCTGCATCCGTAAGTTTAATTTCAACTTGGTGTATCTTAGCCTGTGTGTACTGTCTCAGTGAAGCCATCAGGCTAAATTTGAATCAGTTAATAATTTCCTTCATGCCTTCTCTCTTCACAGTATTAGTTCTACCTGCTATGTGACCTCAGGCACTTCTACAGTCTCTCTGCCAATTTCAGATTTCTTGTATGTAAATGGAAATGATAATATATTTCATAAGATTAAATAAAATGCAATCAAAAGCATGTAGGAAAATACTTAACATTGGGCCTGTCACATAATAGGCCTGTGATACATGTTAGTTTCTCCATTTTCTGTTGTTTTGACATGTTTCTGTGATCTCTAATAATTTCAATTTTGGGGATGGAGACTGTGGCTCATGCCTGCAATCCCAGGACTTTGGGAGGCTGAGGTGGGAGGATCACTTGAAGCCATGAGGTCAAGATGACGAACATGGTGAAAAACACTGTGTCTACTAAATACAAAAAAATTAGCTGGGCTTGGTGGTGCTCACTCATGATCCTAGTTACTCCAGAGGTGGAGGCATGAGAATCGCTTGAACCCGGTAGGCGGCAGTTGCACTGAGCCAAGATCTCACCCCTGCACTGTAGCCTGGGTGACAGAGTGAGACCCTGTCTTAAAAAAAATATAATAATAATAACTTCAATTTTTGTCAGAATTAGAAAAAGACAACATAGCAATGAGTTCCTAAGGATTTAATAATAGTCACATTGTTTAAAATAGCTAATATTTGTTGAATACTTGCTATATGCGAGGTATTACCTAAATAAATTATCACAAAAAATAGGACATTGTACTGTTATCCTCATTTTTAGATATGAAGAAACGAAACAGTCTGAGTAGTTATATATTTGGGCTAGGTGACAAAACTGCTAACCGCTAGATCCAGGATATAGTTCTTTTCTGTCTGGCATTACTGTGCCATGACTCCTCTATTACACAGAAGAATGCCTGTAGTTTTTCCTTGTAGAATTGTGAATCTTGGGTCAGATTTACAGACTTTGCCCTACATGTACAACCTGTACCCTATTCAATGCTTGGTGTTTTGTTTGTTTGTTTGTTTGTTTTTTGAGACAGAGTCTTGCTCTGTTGCCAGGCTGGAATGCAGTGGCACAATCTCAACTCACTGCAACCTCTGCCTCCCAGATTCAAGTGATTCTCCTGCCTCAACTTCCCAAGTAGCTGGAACTACAGGCATACACCACCACACCCGGCTAAGTTTTGTATTTTTAGTAGAGACGAGGCCAGGATGGTCTTGATCTCCTGATGTTGCGATCTGCCCGGCCTCCCAAAGTTTTGGGATTATAGGCGTGAGCCACCACACCCGGCCAATGCTTGGGCTGTCTGGTTGTCACAGTTGGAAAGCAGTTCCAGTCCTGAAGTCTGCCCTGTGCCCACTCCATGATTAATCATATCATTAACATTTGAGAATATTAAAGTCCAAGAAATATGTAAACAGATTCATTTCTCTCTAGGGTATTCTTAGTTGTTAAAAAAAAAATGTGTTTTCACTTTTCTTTCTTCTTCCATATCATCCTGCAAAGTATGTCCATCCCTGTCTTATGCCTACAAAAAATAGGCATTGGAAAAGGAAAACAGGACATTGACAATGTAATTGTACCTCATTAGGAGCCTCACTGTTTCATCACCTTTCTAATTTTTTCATCACTGAAGTGGTCCACAGAGGTATTAGGGGCGCAGGTATTAGGTATGCAGGATCAATAGGACACATAAATCCAGAACAAATTAAGCGAAGGACACCAGGATGCCAGGTCGCCCGGGTCTTCATGGGAGTTGTATTCAGATGAGCTGTGACAGTATTTTCCCTGTCCAGGGTGCACCTGCCAGGTCAAGGGAGGCCCCCAAGTGGGAGGTCACCAAACTTCTTATGCTTCAACTATGTCCTACTGCAGTGCAAGCCTGATAATCATATTTGGTTGCAAATGCTGTTTTCAGTAAGCCATTTCACTCAAATTAGCATTTGGGTTATGGGTTGGTCTGTTGTCCACAGATTATATATCCATGTCTAAGCACTCTACACTTGTGTCTGTATCATAACTGTGTATTGATGACCACTTGGTGAACATTCACAGTTGCTTCATAGCTAGAAAAGGTGGTACCCAACAGACCTAAGGCATACCCCTCTGACTGTAGTCTGTGCAGGCTTTGTGCCTGACTCAGTGAGCTGGGCAATGCTCTGTGTGATAAATGATATCCATGAGATCTTCTCATTGTGGATGCTCTTTACAGCTGATCTCTGATGGCTCATGAGCTTCAGGCCATGAGAACCATCAATCAGGTGTGATATGGGAAATAGGCTGTGCTCTTTCAAGAATTCCTGTAGACCAACGATCAAGTAGCATGGAACCCTGCCTGAGAAGTGTTGGAATATATTTGCTTTGTTAAGTGCAGTGAAGGACTAATCCTTTGACAACTGGGATTTCTCTTAGCCTGCAGCTGTGACCCTGAGCATGCAGATGGCTGTGAACAGGGCTCAGGCCGCTGTCATTGCAAGCTGAATTTCCATGGAGACAACTGTGAGAAGTGTGCAGTTGGATACTACAATTTCCCATTTTGCTTGAGTAAGTACCCACTGTGGAACAAGAGGCCACCCTTTTTGGTCCATAGCTGACTTTTGTGCACTGACCTCTGAGGCATGGCGGACAGGTAGGGAAGGAAAGACAAGAATGGGGCCAGGTGGGTTATATTTATGTGAAATTATCTCCGAAAGTTTGGAATATAAATTTTATATGAGTATATTTTATAGTCTTATTTATCTCCAAAGTGTTACGTTGTACCATAGAAATTGCCATCGCAGTAGGTCAAACAATTCAAATTCAATTTCAACTTAATGATCCATGTGTATGATTTTTCCTCCTAAATGTAGGAGAAATATCATGAGCTTCCAGATATTTGTTTGCATACATATAGTGTGTATTGTGTTTCAGGAGTCCAGGGAGATGTGTTTCCTCTCTCCTGTTGTACAAGGGGCCAAGTTATAAGCACCGCTACCTCCATCCCACTGCAGTGTCTAAGTGAACATGTCAGCATCACCAAGAGAAACAAATACATATCTGTCAGAAACGCTGTAGACCATGAAAAAGGAGAATCTGTGAAACCAACTGCACAAACTGTGACAAGAGTGTTGGTTCTGTTTGTTGTGCAGCAGTGGGAAAAGGATACTTTGGGGTTAGGATAAAGAAACAGTGTCTCAAGAAGAGCCCTTCTCTCTGTATCACTCTGTCGGATATTTCCTGGCCCCACCCTCCTGACTCCTGCAGAGTGATCATAGGAAAAGCACATTGAGTTGTGGGGACATGGAGGCTGGGCTCACACGGATGGGTGACTATGTGGGGACATGGGGGGTGGGCTCACACGGATGGGTGACTATGTGGGGACATGGGGGCTGGGCTCACATGGATGGGTGACTATGTGGGGACATGGGGGCTGGGCTCACACGGATGGGTGACTATGTGGGGACATGGGGGCTGGGCTCACACGGATGGGTGACTATGTGGGGACATGCGGGGTGGGCTCACACGGAGGGGTGACTATGTGGGGACATGGGAGGTGGGCTCACACAGATGGGTGACTATGTGGGGACATGGGGGCTGGGCTCACACGGATGGGTAACTATGTGGGGACATGGGGGCTGGGCTCACACAAATGGGTAACTATGTGGGGACATGCGGGGTGGGCTCACACGAATGGGTGACTACATGTTCTCGTTCACACCTGCCAGCCTAGGTAATTACTTAAATTGCACTCACTTTCTCTGTGGAGATTGTCCTACTTTGGTTGATGAGACGCCATATCAGAATTTTGTCAATGTTGAATCGGTGAGTCTTGGGAGAAGGCTGAACAGAAATTATATTTGCTTTTTTTTTTTTTTTTTTTTTTGAGACAGAGTTTTGCTCTTGTCGCCCAGGCTGGAGTGCAATGGTGCGATCTCGGCTCACTGCAACCTCCACCTCCCAGGTTCAAGCGATTCTGCCTCAGTCTCCCAAGTAGCTGGGATTACAGGCTTGTGCCACCACATGCAGCTAATTTTGTATTTTTAGTAGAGATAGGGTTTCTCCATGTTGGTCAGGCTGGTCTCGAACTCCTGACCTCGGTGATCTGCCTGCCTCAGCCTCCCAAAGTACTGGGATTACAGGCATGAGCTAACGTGCCTGGCCTGCCTTTTTAGTGAAAAGAAGAAGAGGAAGAAACCTGAAGTAGTTTTATGGCATAAACACAATTTCAGGAAAAATACATGAAAGAAGACGTTTTTTTAAAGCCTTGAGTTTATGTTGAAAAAAAAAAAATAAACCAATGAAGATGGTAAGGAAGCCAAACTCATCCCTGCTCAGGCTGAGACTTAGCTATTGTGAGCACAAAACATTCATTTCTGTTCATCGTTATATAAATGGGAATGTCTGGCAAGTCTGGTTTCAGTTACTAAACACATTTGAGATACAGCAATCTTGCCTTTCTTTAAATTCGTCTGTATATGCTACTTTTCACTAAGTGCCTTCCTAGTTAGTACAACTTAATGTTTTACTTCAATATCTCTTTAATCATTCTATGTATTTTTTAATAAACTATTTTCACAGGAATTCCCATTTTTCCTATTTCTACTGCAAGTCCAGAAGATCCAGTAGCTGAAGATATAAAAGGCAAGTAACCGCCCTTTTGGATTAATTTTAGTGAAAATGTTATGCCCTCATTCTCTTCCTACTTCCTGTGCACACTGCCACATCCAAGGCCAAGTTTCCCTTCCTAGAGCATGGAGGATGCCTTGCAGAGTCCGCCTTCCTAGAGCATGGCAGGTGCCTTGCAGAGTCCACCTTCCTAGAGCATGGCAGGTGCCTTGCAGAGTCCGCCTTCCTAGAGCATGGCAGGTGCCTTGCAGAGTCCGCCTTCCTGAGCATGGCAGGTGCCTGGCAGGTGTCTCCTAGCTGACCTACTCTCCGCCCATCAGTCCCCACTCCAGCCTGTCTTTTACGATGCACTACCTGACATAGGAAGCTGCACAGAGCTTGGATTAGATATCACCAGCTTGCTCAAAGACCTTCAGTAGAAGCCAGTGGTCTGTTGTCTTTTTTGAGTTCCCAAAAAAACCTGAGAAAGGAATAGAGAGTAAGTCATTTATTTGGGAGGTGATCCCAGGAAGGGAAAGAGTCCGGGAGTGAAGGGAGCTGTGATTAGGGTGCAGTGGCAGGTAATGTCAGTCACTGCCGTTAGTGGAGGCATTCATGCTTCTGCAGCATGTACAGCTTGGCCTTCAGGAAGGCTGAGGAGCTTCTGCAGCCCCCAAACAAGCCCCTCAGAGAGTAGCGGTGGTGTGCAATAAGCAGTCTAGGGGGGTGGAGGGGTGAGTACTGGACGATGTGGGTGTTACATTTACCTAGTTGTTTGTTCCATCAATATTTTAAGATTCCTTGTTATGTGCAAAGTACCATTCTGGCTGCTGGGGACTTAGCAGTGAACAGAATAGAAAAGAATTCCCAGCTCTCTTGGAACTTATATTCCAGTGGAGGAACCCAGACAATAACATATATAATATAGAAAACCAAGCAAGGAAAATAGCTAATTCATTAGACTGAGAGGCAGAGTTGTGTTCTGAACATGCATGCCACTTTTAAGGGGGCGCCATTCACATCACAGGCATAAACTAACTGTGTGCGAAGATTCCAGGCCTCTAGGCTTGGTTCCAGAGCCATGGGCAATTCCTACATAAACCCATCATGACATCTGCAGGGATGCATAGATTCTCAGAAGGGCACGTCGGCACCAAGGGAAGGGCACAGCACATGCACATAGCCCACAGCCCACAGCTGGGCACCCTCTGGCTCATGCTCACATCCCCTGAGTTTGCCTCTCCTACTCCAGGGTGCCAGCAGCTGCCTGGTGGCCACTGGGGAGGAGATAGTGCCAGGCATGTGTGAGCACGGGTGCCCCTCCTCCTACAGCGCCAGGGTATGGGCCAGCAGAGAAGATGGTTTCAGAAGAGCTCTCCTTGGCAATGAAGTCCAGGCTCTACAACAATATAGTAACTCAGGTGTGGGCTGGAGGCAGCTGTGGTGATGAGTGCTGCTGAAAAAGCAGGGCAGAGAGGAGGTTAGGGATTGTGAAGCTTGCAGATTTAAATCAGGGCAGTGAAGGAAGGCCTCACTGAAGCAGATACAGGAAAGAGCAAGTGCAAAGTCCCTGGGGTAGGGGCAGCCCTGGGCCAGGGGTGTTCAGCAAACAAAAAGAGACCAGGTGTGTGAAAGCAGAGTGAGGGAAGGTGAGACTGGGAGGAAAGGAAGGCACCAGGGCCCGGATGGAGGCCCTCACCAGCCGCAGAGAGGCCTTCCCTTCCACTTGAAACGAGACAGGAGCCATGGAGAGTTTCGCACAGAGAAGTGACATTATACAGAAGGCTTTTTGGGGCTACTGTACTGAAAGAAAATCGCAGGAAAAGAGAAGCAGCAAGGGGGCCTGTTGGGAAGCTTTTCCATAATCCACGAGGAAGAGATGATGGCAGCTCAGACCCAGGTGGTGTCAGCGGAGATGACAGCCATGGGCAGACTGTGGATATCATCTGAAGGTAGAACCAACAGGATTTGCTGGGAGATTGCTAGACTAGAAGAAGAATATGAGAGAAAGGGGGCTCTGGGGTGACTCCAAGGCTTTCAGTTGAGCAAACAGAAGGAGGAAGTTGCTCTTTGTTGAAAGGGAAAGACTAAAACAAGACAGCAGATGCGTGGGCCAGAGGTGGGGGGCAGTGGTGGGGGCTCGGGGACGTTCTCTTCTGGCTGTTTTTTGTTTTCTCTGTGGAATAAGAAACAAGATCAGAGCAAGAAGCAAAGGAGGAGGGCTTGGAGTTGAGTAGGGAGAACGTATGAGAGTCACCCAGGAATCCGGGGGTGGAGGATGGGCTTGGGAATGTCATGGGATTGCTGGGCCGCACCAAAGGCTCCCTGGACGTCAGTTACAACAGGACCTCAGTTACCTTCCTGACTTCATTTCCTGCTTCTGCCCTACCCACCCCTGACAACTCAGTCTCATCGTGGTGCTGTGCGCTATTGCACCATGTGGGGGACTGTCTCATGTCAGATACTGGCGCACTTGAGGACAGCAGCTCTGCAGGGTGAGGCAGTCACGTTGACTTAGAGACGTGCCCACCAAGGCTCAGAGACGGCCAGGCACATTCTGATAGCTCGGTTTAGAGGCTCTGCACAGATGCCAATAACGGAGAATTTAAGGAATGGTGACTACTGTGGAGAATTGCGGTCTTGAATATTTAGCATATTCTTCATTCATTAAACTTTTATTAAGTGCCTAGGCTGTGCTAGTCACTGCCAGGCAGCTGCCTGATACACAGTTCCTGCTGCCTGGGAGCTCCCAGTCTGAGGAGACATGGAAAGGTCAACAGTTCTAATGGCAGGAATTAAGCGACCTGAGAGCATGTGGGAGTCGCAGCCTTACAGCCAGGGTGAAGGAAGGCAGGAAGGAAGGAGGGAGGGAGGGAGGGAAGAAGGAAGAGAAGGAAGGAGGGAGGGAGGGAGGGCAGGAGGAGAAAAAGGAGAGAGAAGTGCCGGAAGCGCTTCTCCAAAGCAGCAGGAGGAGGTATCTGAGCTGAATCTTGGAGCATGAAGAGGAGTCAGGCAGGCAGAGGGGCAGGGAAGAGAAGGCATGCAGCTAGGGGAGAGGGGATGGCAGACAGGTCCTTAGGGCTGAAGCATGGGATAGAGAGAGAAAGTTCAAGGAGAGGACCTAGAGGATTAAGAAAAGACCTGAGTGGGCAGCCAGCTCAGATGTGTGGGTTTGCAAGGCACAGCTGTGCCTCACCTAAGGGGTATCACAGTCACAGAAGACATTACAGATTTGCAGACTGATGATGATGATTTTATAGCAGGTGACAGGAAAGCGTCTTGAGGAAGGGGCACCTTTTTCTAATTTGCACAAAGGTGCCCCCTGGGTTGCTGGCAGCCTGGAAAATGTTGAAGGATCTCCTCTGTCACATATGAAGGACTTCGTATTGTGTCTTGCAGGTATTGGGTCACTGTCGAGGGATTTAAAACTGGGAAGTGATATGAAAAGGTTGACATTTTTGAAATATCACTCTTGACACCAGCATACAGAAGAAATTAGAAGGAGCAAGACAGGAAACAGAGAGCCTCCCTAGGAAGTTCTCGAAATAATCCAGGCAAACAGAAATGAGGTCTGGAAGTCTGGCAGTAGAGAGGGACTCAAGGGATTTTCTTGAGATATAATCACTGTGACTTAGTGATGAGGTGTGGGATGTTCTTTCTTTTTCTATTTTAATCAGAATTCTTTGAACTTCAATGCCAAGGTAAAGTCCAAGTTTCTCACTGAGTCTCAATACTTGATTTAATGTCAAGACTGGAATTCATGGTAAAGACGTTCCCTTTCTCCATGGCATTCATGCTCAGCCTACAGGGCTGTGGCATTAGGACCTTGTATGGCAGCTGTGATGGATGGTCAGGGTGGTGCTCCTGCCAGCCTGGGTTCCAGGGCTTCCCTTGTCATGAATGTGTCCTTGTCACTTCTGAAAAGAAGGAAAAACTTTCTTCTACCCTCTTAGGTTCCATGGCTGGGCCTAGAATTAAATGAACCTAAGACAGATGAACAGTTAAAAAAAGCATACAAATTTATATAATATTTTTACATGTACATGAGAGTCTCTGAAAGGAAAATCAAGACCTGAAAAAGCCATTAGGCCCCAAAACCTATGTATTGTACATGTTTACACAAAGAGCAATGAAGTATGGAGTGTGACAAGACAAAAGAGCTTGGGCTAGTGGCTGTACACTGTGGGACCCTGGCTAGGCAGCACTGGGGGAAACTACGTATTATTTTATTGGGTTTGTTGGTGCAGATTCAGTCTAGTCGACTCCCAGTCTCTAGTGATAAGAATGCTGTGTCTTCCTGGTACAAGGAGGGCAGGCACCTTTCTCCTGGGAAATTTTATGACCTGCTTTGAGGTAGAAAGGGTGAGATCAGAAAACCCTTCCTGCATCTGCAGCTTCTAAAGTGCCTTTGCTGGAAACAGTCAGTATGCTAAAATGGCATATTCTAAACCCTTTCGTTTCCAATGCTGTTTTTGTCAAATTAGGCAACTGTTTGGTTTAAATATGAACAGTCAAAGATCATGTAAAGACTATAAAGTTGTTCTGATTTACGGGGATTTTTTTCCTTAATTATTGTATTAGAAAAAAATAATCCCACAACTTTGTTACTAACCTTTTATTTGAAAAATTAAGGATTTAGGGCAAAGGGATTTGGCTACTTTTCATATTAACTACTATTTTAACTCTTATAGACAGTCTTTCCAAAATGCATGAGACTCTCCTTCCCTGGTGAGTAGGGTGGACCCAGTTGAATCTTTGTCTTTTAGGGTCTTCCTTAGGGCATCTGTTGCAAATTTAGATATTAACGCAATAGATAGAAATACAGATGCTCTCAGGGCTGAGCACGGTGGCTTATGCTGTAATCCTGCACTTTGGGAGGCTGAGGCAGGAAGATCACCTGAGGTCAGGAGTTTGAGACCAGCCTGGCCAACATGGTGAAACCTTGTCTCTACTAAAAATACAAAAATTAGCCAGATGTGGTGGTGTGCGCCTGTTATCCAAGCTACTCGGGAGACTGAGGCACACAAATCACTTGAACCCGGGAGGCAGAGATTGCAGTGAGCAGAGATCAAGCCACTGCACTCCAGCCTTGGTGACAGAGTGAGACTCTGTCTCAAAAATAAATAAATAAATAAATAAAAAGAAATAGATGCTTTAAATATGAGATTGCTTTGAATATATATACTAATCTAGGACATGCTCTGAAAGTTGCTTTTAACATCATTCTCAGCTAGTATGTTTAGTATAATAGAAAGAACACTGACTTTAAAATCTGGCAGTCCTGGGTTCAAATTCTGACTCTGCTTTCTGGGCTGTGTGACCTTACGCAAGTTAATTAACATTTCTGAGCATTTTTTTTTCATCTGTAAAAATCTTACCTAACAGGGCTTTTATTTGACTTCATTATTATTTTTGAGCAATATTTGCTTCCTGAGGAATACTGTGCGCTGGCCCTGGGAGCCCTGTGGTGACATCTCACTAAGTGTCCAGTCTGCTGGGTGATTTACTTATATATTTCTGTGTCATAAGTCATCCCAAAACTTAGTCGCTTAAAAGAACAAGGGTTATTTCTTTCCATTGCGTGGGTTGGCTGGGCGGGTCTTCTGCTGGACTTGCTGGAGGGTCTTCTGGGGCTGGATTTGGCTAGGACACTTGGGAGTCTCCCTCTTTGTGGCCTTTTGTCCTCAAGGAGGCCAGACTAGGTCACTCCCACGGTGATCTCAGGATTCCTGGAGGGCAAGAATGGAGACAGCAAGGCCTGTAGTGACCTGGGCTCAGAAGTCACGAGACAACACTTATACCTCATCCTAGTGGTCAAAACGTCATGGGCCAAAATGCGATTCCAAAAATGAAAGTGTTGTGAGACAGAAACACAGCTAAGATAGAGAATAAACGGAGGAAAGTGGGGGCCATTTGTACAGACTGGTCAGGGGGTCCTTCTGAGGAGCTGATGTTTGACGCCTGGTGGATGAGAAAGAGCTGACTGTGCTCAGAGCTAGGGGAAAGGCATACCAGGCAGAGGGACTGGCCTGAGCAGGGGTCCTGAGGTGGGAAAGCCTTGGATAGAGGCACCAGAAGCAGGCTGGCTGCGGGGAAGGCAGGGTGCCGGGAGGATTAAGTGAGCCGATCCAGGGGAACCCCCCAATGATAGTAGGGCTGAATTTATGTTCGTTTCTTTTCTTCTTAAAATTGGTAGGAAGAGGCCGGGCATGGTGGCTCATGCCTGTAATCCCAGCACTTTGGGAGGCCGAGGCAGGTGGATCACCTGAGGTCAGGAGTTCAAGACCAGACTGATTAACATGGAGAAACCCCATCTCTACTAAGAATACCAAAAAAAAAAAAAATGAGCCAGTCATGGTGATATATCCCTGTAATCCCAGCTACTTGGGAGGCTGAGGTAGAAGAATTGCTTAAACCTGGGAGGCGGAAGTTGCTATGCGCTGAGATCCCACCACTGTACTCCAGCCTCGGCGATAGAGACTCTGTCTCAAAAACAGAAAAAAAAAAAAAAAAATTGGAAGGAAGAAATATGTTTAATTCACTATTGTGATAAGATGAGAATCTATTAAATTGAAGTTAGACTTAACAAAGCTCCGCTTTAGAGGGCAAAGAAAATGTGTCCACAGGAATAGAAAGAATGGTTTGTAAAGGCATGCCCATCCCTGGATTTTTTTTAATGATATTTCTGACCTTTTGTGAATTTTTAAAAATCTCCCTTCAAGTGTAATCTTCTGAGTTAAGAATGTTTAATAGCCATAGATAATTCATAATCTGTATTTCCATGATAGAAATCTAGGGGAAGGGAGAAATTAAGAAAGGGATAGCGGATGGAGACCCCCTCTGAAAGTTTCCTGTTTTCCGCAGGGTGTGACTGTAATCTGGAGGGCGTTCTCCCTGAAATATGTGATGCCTACGGAAGGTGTCTGTGCCGCCCTGAGGTCAAGGGCCCTCGGTGTGATGCCTGCCGCTCTGGTTTCCACTCATTCCCTATTTGCCAAGGTAAGTGAGCAAAATATAGCATATTCATAATCAATCCCTCAAGATAAATTTCCTTCTGAGGAAATGCAGATATTTCTGGCAGAGCTGTGTGGCTTGCAGTTTAATAAATGGGCCCTGGCTTATACATGGATGTTACATATGACTGTCCTACCTGGACCTTGTCACCTCCCTTCTTTCCAGCCTTACCCTGCCACCTCCCTGGTAGTGAGGCACATGGACTCTGAAATCATCTGTTTGGGTTCAATTACTGGCTCTGGAGAGGAGGTGGTATCTGAACAGCATTTAGGAACCTGCCAGCACGTCTCAGATTCTGTTGGGTGGGGGGCTCTGGATGCCAGTTGGCTTTGCAAATTGGAAGTGTGTAAATAAGGTTAGAAAGACGGGAAGGTGGATGACAGAAGGAGGCAGGGTGTTCTAGAGAGAGGGGGCAGCATGTGTAAACCGTAGAGACATGAGACCACAACTCCCCCTCCCCTACTTGTTTGTATCTAGTATTCCATCCTAGTAAGAGTCGCTGCGGGGGATGAAGGGTGGGAGGAGGAGGTATCTGGTCCAGTCCCTAGAGCATGGCAGGTATGCACTCACTCAACTTTGGGTGAGTGAACGGATGAATGAATGAATTTGCCCAAATTATTCTCCCCTGCCTCCTTTCTACTGTCTGATATTATTCTTTTTCCTGCAGACAATGGTGTAGGGGAAGGGAGGAGAAAGAGGAGAAGATTATCAGCTTGGGATTGAGGCAGGAAATAAAACACCACTTCAGACACTATAAACAGAAAGAGATTTACTGTAGGTAATTAGGTGCTAACCCAGAGGAGTTGTTAAGAGCCAGAGCAGCAGGCTCTAGGCTGGGCTTCCAAGGAGGCCTCCCATGGAATGGCTGAGTTTTAAGCCCAGACTGCTATGGCCCAGTGCAAGGACAAGAGGACCATGGTTGGTGCCTTCATCTCTTGGCACCCAGGAAGCCAGAGACAGGGCACAGCTACAGAAATGCGCAACCAGTTACAGGATGCAGCCTCCGCCTTATTTCCCATCTTTCTAGTCTGATTCATACACTTTCAATTTGCAAACCTAATAGGCATTCACAGCCCTGCTCCAACAGAGTCTGAGAAGTGCTGTCTTTAGCTTTCCAGCCTCTGAACACAGGAGGAGTTTAGAATAGGTATTAGGACATCTCACCTGCAAGGTCAGCCACGCTAAGGAACTGTGAGCATGAAAAACCCTCCCCTAAGCTGGAGGACAAAGTAGTGAAGAGCAGGGGTAGCACTAGCTATCAATTTGGCAAGTTACTTAACCCCTCTGTTCCTCAGTTTCCAAAAAATAACACCTGTCTCATAACACATTGATGTGAGGGTTACATGTGTAGTGACAGGTGAAGCTCTTAGAACCAGGGAAGTACTTGCTTGTAAGTTAGCTATTCACTTTCACATTTCTTCTCCAGACCTGTATATACTTTCCTCTGCATCATTTTAAGAGCTTATAGTCCCAGTTCCAGCCGTCTCCGTTTGCTTAAATGCCTGAATGCCATACCCCAAACCTTTCCTTTACCTTCTGGCTCCTGGTGTGCAAAACATTCTTGTGTCTGAAAATATCTTAAAGTTTTCTTTTTTTTTCCTCCTCTCAACCAGCCACAACTTTAGACTCATTCTGGCAGAATGAATTACAAATATTCTAAGTTAGTCATTTATATGGACAAAGCTCGTGTTTATGGATGCAAAAATAATATATAATATAACACTTTTGGAATGCCCTTTTCCACATTTCTCTACTACTAGAACTAATTTATTTTAAGGTAGGTAGAAAATGCATGAATGTATTCAAGATAAAAGCAGAGGGGAGGAAGGACTTTCTTAACCACAGAGTAGGGAGCTTAGTAGATACTCTCTCCAGTAAAACAGAAATGTGAGTGGTGAAAATATTTTGAAAAATTGTTTGAAATCTCTATTAATGGTCATAAGAGCATATAGTAAATGAATAATTATTTGAGGAAATTGAATGTAGGTAAGAACAATGAATATTGGTAAGAACATTTGAGCCATGACCCCCTTCATTATACACCCCCAACTCTGTTTTATAGAAGCTCTATCCATATGTGTCACCAAGAAGATGGGGACTTTCTTTACCCTATACCCCGGTTTGGGGCTATGGTTTGTTTCATTTTGGGGGAGTCAGGCCACTGATATTTCTCATCCTTCTGCAATCCTGTATAGCAGAAGCCCTATTCCAGGTGGTCTCAGCAAAGAAGACCAGCTTGCTTTTACCCACCAGGCCTCCACTTGTAAGGTAGGAGCTCTAACTTAGACATTTCAGGCTGAGAATTGTGGGATCCCAATCACCCCTACCCAGGCTGGCTCATAGAGTAGGGGTCCATAGTGGGAGAGAAAAACTTAGAAGACCAGGGGTTGCCACCTCTACCTGTGTCCACTTGTAGAGCAGAGTATCCCTTCAGATAAAATGGGTCCCCACCTCTAGCTCTGGTGGTATAGTGGTGGGATAGTGGTATGTCATTCCCACTCCCCCATCCCCAGCAAAGAAAGGTAGGTCATAAAGACAAAGAGCTCTGCAGCTCTGCCTGAGGGAACTGGCTTTTTGGAACACAGTAGAGAACTCTATACCCAAGGGGATTTTTGGAAAACAATGAAGATCTTGGCATATAACAATTAAGAAGACTCTGGTAGTTCTGATACAAGCAAAACAGCAAAGCAGCCAGAAGTTTAATAAAGCAAATTGGAGAAAGCAACAGCCAAAAAGAGTCTTCCTGATGTTGCAGATAATTCTGGAGGTTGAAAAGGCTATGTGCAGGCACTAGGCTCTACTTCAGAGAAAGACATGGGGCAGACTCAGAAACAGCCCCCAAGTACCACAACAACCAACTAACACAGTGTGGAACCTCACTGGCACAAGGGGCTTAAGTGCAACCTCTGGCCAAACATGGGGTAAACAAGCTACTCTGATACAGTGGCAGCTCCTAGGGAGTCATGCTTAAAAATAATATAGTCATCTCTGGCAACCTAGAAGGCCATATGTATGTCCAAGACCGTGCCCTCAGTGATCAGAGAGGGGAAATCCAAACTAGTGATTCCTGGCGGAATATGGGGCTGAAAAAAGAAAAAAAAAAAGGAAAAGAAAATAAAAAGTAAACACCCTGACCTGTGGTTGCAGCCTCCAAGCACACACACATGCAATGAGTGACCCTGACATAGTCAGGCCAGAAGATAAAAACAAGGACAGAAATCTCAGCAGGAACATCAAAGGCTGAATGCTGCAGGGGACATAGACTTTGTAGAATTAATTTAGCCAAGCCACTAAACGAACAACCAGTCAAGCAAACAATAGCAATAGTCCTGGTAATGGACAATATATTACCTAAAATGTCCACTTTCCAAAAAATTATGAGATATTCAAAGAAGCAAGGAAGTGTGACCCATACATAGGGGAAAAAGAAGACAATAGAAACTGCTTTTGAATGAACCAGATGATAGTCTTAGCAAAGACTTTAAAGCAGCTGTGAAAAATTTGTGCAGAAGACTAAAGGAAATCATGTTTAATGAATTAAAGGAAGGTATGATGACAATGCCTCATCAAATAGAGAATATCAATAAAGAGAGAAAAATTGTTTTAAAAAATAACCAAATGGAAATTTTGGAGTTGAAAAGTATAATAACTGAAATGAAAAATTCACTAAAGTCTCTCAATAGTAGATTGAGCTAGCACAAGACAGAATCAACAAACTTAATAACAGATTGATGGAGATAATGCAGCCTGAAAACAGGAAGAAAAAAAGAACAAAAATAAATGAACAGGTCAGGTGTGGTGGTTCATGCCTGTTATTCCAGCACTTTGGGAGGCCCAGGCGGGCAGATCACTTGAGGTCAGGAGTTTGAGACCAGCCTGGCCAACATGGCGAAACTCTGTCACTACTAAAAATACAAAAATTAGCCAGGCGTGGTGGCGGGCACCCGTAATCCCAACTACTTGGGAGACTGAGGCAGGAGAATCGCTTGAACCCAGGTGGCAGAAGTTGCAGTGAGCCAAGATCATGCCGCTGCACTCCAGCCTGGGCAACAAGAGTGAAACTCTGTCTCAAATAAATAAATAAACAAATAAACAGAACTTCAAAGAAATATGGGATACCATTAAGTGCACCAACATATGTGTAATGAGAGCATTAGAAAGAGAGGAGAGAGAAAGGAATAGAGAAAAATAGTCAAAGAAATAATAGCTGAAAGCTTACCAGATTTAATGAAAAGCCATCTATACACCTAGGAAGCTTAATGAACTCCAAGTAGCATAAATACACAGGGACCCATCTGTACACCTGAGAAGCTTAATGCACTCCAAGTGGTATAAATACACAGGAATCTGCAGCCAGACGTATTGTAGTTAAAATCATGGTTAAAAGTTTGAAAGACAAAGACAAAGAGAAAACCTTGAAAGGTGGAAAAAAAGACTCACGTACACAGGAACCCCAGTTAAAATAACAACTGACTTCTCATCAGTAACAATAGAGGCAAGAAGGCAGTGGGATCATATATTCTAAATACTGAAAGTGAAAAAACTGTCAACCAAGAATCTTCTGTCCATCAAAATTACTGTTCAAGATCAAGGCTAAGTAAAGACTTTCTCAGTCTTTGTTACTTCCTGAACAAAAACTGACAGGATTCACCTGACCTGACCTACGAGAAATAATGGAAATGATAAAGGTTGTTCTTAAAGCTGAAGCAGGCGCCATCAAACAATAACTTGAATAACATGTAAAAATTACAAAAAGCAGCATAGCTGAATATTTTTATACATTCTTCTCTTGACTGATTTTAACAGAAAGTATACAAACTATAGAAAGGCAGGCAATAACAAGCACTGGCATGGATGTGGGGAAATTTGAACCCTCGTACACTGATGGTGGGAATGTGAAATAACACGGTGACTTTGGAAACACTTTACGTTATAACCCAATAAACACACACACACTAATAGATGATAGAGATATCTAACAAAAC